CTGAAACTGACCAGTGGCTGACTACAGGAAGCCCCTGCCCCGGGCTTCCTGGAATCAGCTGCTGATCAGTTTCAGCAGCAGCTGACTTGGGGATGCCTGGCGTTCTTAAGTTGAATCTGTATGTAAGTCGGAACTGGCGTCCAGATTCAGCCGCTGTTGAAACTGATCAATTTGAGCAGCGGCTGAATCTGGACGCCAGTTCCGACTTACATACAGATTGAACTTAAGAACAAACCTACAGTGGCTTCCTGGAATCAGCTGCTGATCAGTTTCAGCAGCAGCTGACTTGGGGATGCCTGGCGTTCTTAAGTTGAATCTGTATGTAAGTCGGAACTGGCGTCCAGATTCAGCCGCTGTTGAAACTGATCAATTTGAGCAGCGGCTGAATCTGGACGCCAGTTCCGACTTACATACAGATTGAACTTAAGAACAAACCTACAGTCCCTATCTTGTACGTAACCCGGGGACTGCCTGTAGTAATTTCAAAATACCATAGGCTTTGTCTGTATATTATCCGGGTATAAATAATAAAAGATCTGCAACGATGTGCTGAGTAAATCAGCATTAACTCTAAGTGTTTTAACTAAAAATATTGTACAAACTTTTGGAAAGAAACATTACAGAACTATATTGGCATTGAACTGCCAAATGTACATTTTCAGGCATGCTGGTGAGAAATGGAGGAAGTTTTGAAGATGACTTATCCTTGGGAGCGGAAGGTGGGTGTGGCAGACACACATGGCTATTAAAGCAAGAAATTTTTTATTGTTATTTAAGTAACGCTCAAGAGTGTGAATTTATTTTGAAGTCATTATTTCCAGTCGTGTCACCTGATGGTAAACCTTCCTGGAAAGCAAGAGGGAAGATGAGAAATTTAAAAAAGGGGGAAAAAAAAAACCCAACCCCAAACAAATTATTTTCTTTCATCAAAACTTTATTTTTGTCAGCTTGTTGTGAGCTAGCCTTCCGGCAGCCAGAGCCAGCCTTGAAAGGAGCTTGCATAATAAAGGAAACCGCTCTCTGCTACTATTTTATGGCTGCGTCTAGACTGGCAAGTTTTTCCGCAAAAGCAGTTGCTTTTGCGGAAAAACTTGCCAGCTGTCTACAACACTGATTTCCTACTGTCTGAAATCAGTGCTTCTTGCGGAAATGCTATGCTGCTCCCATTTGGGCAAAAGCTTTTACGCAAAAGGCACAGTGTAGATAGCTCAGATTTGTTTTGTGCAAAAAAAGCCCCGATCACGAAAATGGCGATCGGGCTTTTTTGCGCAAAAACGCGACTAGATTGGCATGGACGCTTTTCTGCAAAAAGTGCTTTTGCGGAAAAGCATCTGTGCCAATCTAGACGCTCTTTTCCGCAAGTGCTTTTAATGGAAAACTTTTCCGTTAAAAGCATTTGCGGAAAATCATGCCAGTCTAGATGTAGCCTATGTGTTTTTGGTGCAAACAGTCAAAAGCACTGGTGGAAGGAGTGCAAGCAGTGAGGAAAAAATGACTGTGAATGCTTGTGCTCTCTCTTTGGACAGATCTGGAAGTCCGACACATGTGCACCAGTGCCATTGAAGCTGCTGAGAGTGGCATGTGAGGATTTTCTGAGTGTCAAAGTTGCTCTCAAGTGTTCAGCCAATAATTGCTCATATTTAAAGAGGAAGTAAGAGAAGAGAGGCTGAAAAATGGAAGAAGGAATAAAACCTGGCAATAAAAGGGAGTAGATGCGTGTTTAAAACCACCAACCCACCACCCACAATGAAACAAAGGGAAAGACATTTAGATTGTCAGTTATGCCATTTTTTCTCTTTGGATCGCCAGTTGTAGCTTTACTCTTTGTTCTGTTTCTGTCTCTGCTTGTTCTCACTAGTTCTTCTTTTCTCCTCTTTCTGCTGGAGGAGGAAGAGAGGAGAGGTGGCCTCTCAGAGCGGGCTTTTTATTTATTTATGCCTTTTGGTGGCTTAAATGCTTTAAATTGCCTCCGCTGAGAGAGATCCCCAGCTCAGGAGCTGATCTGCTTTGAGGGTGCAGTGCTGAGAGTGGCCAGACGTACTCAGGCCCATTAGACTGCAGAGGCCAATCAGCACCTCACAGCTTAGGTTCTGTTTGTCCATCTATCCTGTGCATACATGCAGGATAAGGAGTATAAGGTTTTTCTTAGTATTTGTTCAAATGTGTCCTTTTTTTTTTTTTAACCCAAACAACCCTGCAGCTGAAAAGAATTTTTGCAATTCTAAAATGTGTTTGAAAAGTGTCAGGTTTCTTTTGGTATAAAAAGCTCAATTCCATTCTTATTGGAGTCAATGGAAGTCTTGCTGGCAATGCTGTGGAAGGGAGGGAGGACCGTTGGGGAGGAAATCCATGCTTTATTTTGGAATCTCTTAAAAATAACAAGGAAAACAATTTGACAGTTGACTTGATGTGATTAATTTAGTCAATATCACGTATTGAATTAGAGTAAGTGAGATTAAAAGGATTCCTCCTCACAGACTTTTCATTTGTTAGACTGTTTTTCCTTGTTTTAAGTAACAATCCAAGCTCTGGTCATTACACTGAAAGAGAAAGGACAAAGCCAGGGCTGCCGAAGGGGGAGGGGGGAAGTTGCCCTGGAACTTGTCCATATAAAAAAACCCAAGGCTTCTGGGCTGCTACTGTGGCAGCAGCAGCCAGAGCCCCAGGCCCTTTAAATCACTATGGTGTAGTCCAGGCTGTGCTGAGAGCTAGCTGGGGCAGGTGCAGCATGTTCTGGGCAGCATTGAGGGCTGGCTGCCTCTACTCCTGCCTCGTCTGTCTGAGTCCCTGCCCCTGATTACTGCCCCTCTTCCCCCCCAGAAGCTGCCGGAAAATTCAAATATCCAATTATCTGAAGGTGGGGGAAGGGGGCAGAGAAAAAGGAAAAAATATATTTTAAAAAACTCATGTTAACCAGCTCTAAAAAAGTAGATATGGTGATCTGTGTGTGACTTTTCTTCTACACCAAGAATACTATAGGTTAAAATTTGACTATTAAAAAATACTCCACTAATGCCCATTATCCCAAGCATGTATACATACAGATCACATACTTATGTGTAAAGAATAGACTCTGGGAGGTAGGGTGGCATATGCGAACAAATGTTACTGGATACCATTTCTTATCAGCTATTATAAATGGTGTTTTGCCAAAGAACTTTACGCACAACTCATTTCTTTATTTTCCTGCAGCTAATCATCTACATCAAATCAATGACAAAATGGAGACATGGTAAGTGTCTCATTTTTTGTTAAAAAAATGTTGAAATAAAATGATGAGAGATGATGTAAAGGTGAACTAGGCAGTCCCAGTACTAGCACCATTCCATGTAGAAGATTTTACTCCTACAAAGACGACCACACCAATAATACATCCCCACCCCCACTTCAATACTCTTAAAAAAAGTGTTCTATAACGAGGGGGGGAAATCTCAGAACACAAAACAACAGTTCTGCAAGGAACCGGTTTATCATATTGGCTTTGTCCATTTTTGTGACAGCAATGGTATGTTGGCGAAGGAGAGGAGACATCAGTTCCACCAGAAGGGGAGAAGTATGAATTCCACTGGTTCCGGAAGAAGTAGTGGGACTGTTTCAAGGTAAAAGAATTGTGTTAGGGAGTTTGGCACAGTTCTGTGGGCTTTATCATTCTTTTTTCCTAGTATTTAGTATTTCTGTCCCTAAGACTACGTCTAGTCTACAAGCCTCTTTTGAAAGAGAGCATCTAGACTGCAACCACTTCTTTTGAGAAAGCGAGCCCCCAGGCATTCTGGATGTTCTCTTTCGAAAAAGCCCTCTTTGCATTCAAGAAAGCCTTTTTCGAAAGAGCACTTTTGAAAAATGGCATTCTTTCTCATAAAATGAGGTTTACTGTGGTCAAAAAAGACGCGTTCTTTTGATTTAATTTTGAAAAAACACGGTGGCGGTCTAGATGCAGGGGAAGTGTGTTTAAAAAAAAAAGGCCACTTTTTTTCGAAAAAAACCCCTGTAGTTTAGACACACCTTAAGAGAGAAACTTGGCTTGATTTTTATTTTTATTTTTATTTTGCTGCGTTATTGGGCTTACTAACAAAGAAGAGATTATGTGAAAGAACTTGACTTTTTTCAGTTGTGGCTCTTAGAAAGCAAGTGGGCCTGACCCATGGAAATGCCTGAAGTTTAAAAGCATCTCAGATTTCAAGACCTTTGTATAGGGATTGGGTATAAATAAAGTTTAGATCTGAACATTGACTGGGTTCATTTCTCTAGTGGCTTGAATTTAAATGCCAGATATAAATCCCTGCAAAGCTTGTAACTTGGGCCTATTTCCTAATGTGCACTGAGCTGTAGGAGACAAAACTTCAATAGGGCACAGACAAAAGAGCTGAACTAGTAATCAGACTGAAGGGATCATGTCTTAGTCCCCGTGTAGAAGGGATCATGTCTTAGTCCCCATGTAGAAAACTCTCTTGTTTTTCACTTGTTTAGTGTTTCTGAATTACTGGAGCTTTATGAGGAAGACCCTGAAGAAGTACTCTATAACCTTGGATTTGGAAGAGATGAACCGGATATTGCTTCTAAAATTCCATCAAGATTTTTTAATTCATCCTCGTTTGCAAGAGGGATTGATATTAAAGTGTTTCTGAGTGCCCAAATGCAGCGCATGGAAGTGGAAAATCCAAACTTTGCTTTAACAAGTAAGTTTACTTTTAGAGCCAAGGTTAAGTTTTTAAAATTGTGTAAATAACCAGCAAAGGAAATCTGTAGGCCAGTACTGTGGAAAGTTTTTGCAGTTTCAGGGCCAAATTCTGCTCCTATGAAGTATTAACAGTAAACTCCCGTCTAACTGCTCCAAAATATGACGTGAATTTGTTTGAGCAGGTTTTTGGGGTAGAAAAGATGGGATCCCCATCATTATCCTTCACCTTCTGAGTTGTATATTGGTCTCTTTGAGTTTCTGCTAAACCATCTTTCTTTTTTAAAGTACTGAAAAAAGTCAAAAAATACAGTCTAAAAGCCTTTTCGTGTACTGTGGAAACTGAAGATTAAATTTGAAAGTGCTCATTATTAACTTAATTCTGTTCCCATTGAAGATAGTGGTAAAATTCTTATTCACTTCACTGGAATCACAGTTAGACCAAAGCTGAGCACTTCTGAGAACTCCACCATTGGAGTGCAGAACATCAAAATATGAAATAACAAAAAATTGAGGCATTTCACTACAATAGAACCTGGAGAAGGATAAGCTGACTAATTGTGTCCAGTGCTCACAATTTTACTTGGTCTCTGTTTTTGTACTTAATGTATTTATAAAGTTTCTCCCGACCTTTCTCTTTCTGCTGTTAAAGTGCTCTTACAATCTGTTCTTCTGAATGTTAAGGATCAAGGGATCACTTGTGGTTTTCTGTATTAGGTAACCTTCTAACCACTCTTGAGAGCCCTTGATAATTTCAGAAAGAGGCATCTGGGGTGGCCCTTTTTAAGTACCATGAAAGCCTATATTTCTAGGTAACTCAATCTTATTAAACTAGTATTTACATACTGTGTCAAACAGAATCAATGTCTGTTTATATCACAATTGTAAATTGTAGTATAACCTAAACACATAAATAAAAAAATCCATATTAGGGATGTTAGTGATTAGTAAAACTGGAGTACTGACTACAGCCACTCTCTGAGTTATGAACGAGTTACGGACCAACACTTGGTCCATAATTCGAACTGTTTGTAACTCGGATCCCATAGAGTTACATGGCAACCACGCTGTTCGTAACTCGGATCTGCGTTTACAACCGCTTTGGTCGTAAGTGCGAATGGTTGTAAGTGGAGGTGGCCGTAAGTCAGGGAGCAGCTGTATTTGCTTCCCCGGGGGGGAGCAGGAGCTGGTACTGGGGGAGCCAGCTTTAAAGCCAGTTCTCCCCAGCCCTGGCTCCAGGAGGGGATGGCGCTACAGCCTTTATCTGAGGCCATGGCGGGGCGGGGGAGGAGAATAGGGGAGACTGCTGCAGAGTGAGGCTCACCGTGGGCAGAGGCTGCTCTGGTGGCAGCCCCTGTCCATGAGTGTTGTGGATACACTTTATGCCACAGCTCTTCCTCCTAGAATTAGTGCCAAAAAGGGAACTCAGGATGATACTGTGCCTCATGTGGATGAGCGAAATAAACTCACACCAAGTGAGTCATGGGGCTGGCCACCATGAACAGGGTCTGCTGAACTCAGTGCGAGCCAGGACTGCGCTGGTCCAGGGTGCTGTGCCTCTGCATTTTAAATGTAGTAAAAGGCTGGCAGCTCTTACTGTAGCACTGCATTTAAAATGCAGAGCTACAGTATCGGTGGCTCCCGGAGCTAGCACGAACCAGGGCTGATTTAGTCCGGGTTTGAACTGGCTCCTGGAGCTATTCACACTGCTGCTCTGTGGAACGGTCTTTCGGTCTTTGATTAATCGTGTACTCAATACAAACTGTATTGACTACATCATTAGTCAGATCCATTTCACATCCCTAATCCATACCCTTCTTAAAATTTTGACCTTAGAAATCAGCATGGATCTATGTATCTGTTACAATACACTCTTAACGTGTTGCTGAAATCCTGTCTAAGGCTATCTCACTCTTACAGAGGTCTCAGAACATTGACCTGGATAAAAATGGATGATTATAAAGATGAGGGTTCACAATATCTTGACTCTATCATTTTAATTACTGCTTTCCTTTAAAAGAGGCTAATTTCTTTAGCAAAATCTAGTTTTCTTTTGAGTCACCACTTACAACTGAGTAGTGTCAGTTTAAATATGAACTGAAATAGCCATAAAAAAAGCCTGTTAGAGACTGTACCCTTCAATAGAATACATATCTAAAATTCTATGTTTTATAAAGGAAAAGGATGTTCTTTGGATAATGCAGGTATTTGGGTTTGGAAAATCTGGCTTTACCTGTGCCCTGTAAGTTGTGGTTATTTTGCTTACTCATTCCAGTGAGAAGAATTAATTGCAAGTCCTAAGACGTTCTTAGCTAGGGTGTACAAATATTAGACACAATTCCACCAATTGTTCTCTTAAAAATTAACTTGTGCTTTGTTTTATGCTCCAGGTCGTTTTCGTCAGATTGAAGTGCTTACTACTGTAGCCAATGCTTTTTCTTCCTTGTATTCCCAAGTTTCTGGGACTCCTTTGCAGAAAATTGGCAGCATGAATTCAGTGTCTTCCAACAAAGAGACCCCAAATCCTCCTCCTTTAAATCGAAGCAATACTGCAAGTCGTTTAATGAAGACCTTATCAAAACTCAATCTGTGTGCAAACCAGCAGGCAGGAGAAAGTAGCAGTTCCATGACTCCCCCAACTGTTGAAAAAGGGAATACGCCTCCTGGCCAAGGGACTGAAGAAAATGATATAAAAAATGAATCAAAATTACCAAAACTCTTAAAAAAGAAAGATTCTCGATCTCTGGCTACAGTAAAAGAGGAGATCTCTATTAATCAGCTCAATCTTGGAGACACACTTAATGCCACAACTTTTCCTCCTGGAATTAGTGACAACAAAGGAACTCAGGATGATACTGTGCCTCACGTAGATGAGCAAAATGATCACTCACCAAGTCACCAGAATGGGTTGTCTGAAGAATCTGGTATTGTGGACTCCTCCAATCTCACCAGCGATGCTAATATGCCTGCAAATAACGAGCTTGAAAATATCACTGAGCAGAAAAATCCGTCTACACCAGATAAAGAATCTTATGCTCCCATAGCGTCTCCATCCATAACTATTCTAAAGTTACCACAAAAGGACTCATTTGAGATGGAAGAGGTAGGTGGAAAAAATTACTTTGCACAGAGTTGACATAGCCTCTGTTGTTCCCTGCGTTGACACAGGAAATGTAGAATCAAGACAGTCCTTAAGCCAAAGCAAACCTCAAGGGCTGGTAAAATAGAAGTTTCACAATTGACGGAACAAATAGAAGTTGTTCGACATGCAGTACCACGCAGTGTTTTTGTATGTGTTTTTAGTTAAGCCTCTAGTTTTTGACCCTTATCCCTTTAATTACTTTTTTTCTTTTGAGGAGGTTAACTTCTTTAACAAAATCTAGTTTTCTTTCTTTTTAATAACCACTTATAATTGAGTAGTGTCACCAGTTGAAATCTGAGTTGAAATAAAGAGAAAAAACCCACATCTAAAACCTTTTAGGTACTATACCTTTTAATGGAATACATAGGTTGGAAAACAGTAGGGCAAAAACCTGAGCTGGTACTGTATAAGCCAGGGTGAGCAATATTTTTTTTTTTATGGTGATCACTCCAAATTTTTGGTAAGTGGTGAAGGGCCTCATTTTTCTGTGGCGGGGGTGTAGGGTCTTGGATGGACGTTGGGTGCAGAAGGAAGCTGAGGAAAGGGGATAAGGATTCAGGAGAGGATGTGGGGTCTGAGAGGGAGTTTGGGCGAAGTACACAAAGCTTCCTCTCATCCCCATTGCAGAGAGGCAGATGTAGCAACCAGCTGTTGCTCCCTGCCTGTGGAGTCAGTGGGTTGGGCTGGATTGAAAGGCTTGGCAGGCTGGATTGAAAGGCTTGGTGGACCAGATCCAGCCCCCAAGCCGTATTTTGCCCACCCCTAGTAAAAGCTGATAAAGCTCTATTGATGTCAATGAAACGAGACTGACTTATAACAGACCTGGTTTTAGCCTAGGGCCTCCATTTGTTTGCCTGCAGTGATCTAAGTTAGGGCTTCT